GCATCAGTTAGTGGGCTTACAGAACACAAACAAAGTTCATAATAAATAAGAAGTCTCCTGCAATCTTAAAAGGCTAGATAGAAGAAAATTCCAGAAATTCTAGTCAGCATGATTTAGAACTATCTGCAGCAACACTTGCCAATCTGTTAAAAAAAAAAAAAAAAAAAAAACAGAAAACTTGCGGTTATTAGAAGTGGAGCCATACATTTGAGCCAAGTTCAGTTCACCATAATGGATCTACCAAAACCAGTCGTAATAATGGGATAAATTCACAACCCGTGGCAGAATCACCTCACAATTTTAGAAAAAGTTCCAAAGATATGTCTTAATCAATAGAATCACTATTAGTCCACTTTGTTATTTTTCTTGAAGAGAGGGAAGTTGTATTATTGCATATCAGGATCCTTGGGGGTCTTCCAAATAGATAGAAGAGATTTTAGAAATCATCCAGTGCAACTTCGCATCTATAATGACTGTTGCTTTAGAAATCCATAACAGTGGGACCAATGCACATGGGACACCCATGCACTCCTACATTTCCCAGACTCCTTTTCAGTACACCTGGTGTGGCGCTGTGGGTTAATGCACCAGACTGCAAAGCCATTTGAACTGCAAGGTTGGTGATTAAAGCTTACCAGCTGCTCCTTGACAACCCTATACAGGGTTGCTATGGGTCAGAACCAACTCAACGGCACTTCACAACAACAACATGTGCTGGTGTGGTTCTGTAGGTTAAGCACTGGACTGCAAGGTCACTTTGAACCACATGGTGGGCGATTCAACTCACCAGTCTTTCCTCAGAAACCTTATACAGGGTCCCTATGGATTAGAACTGACTCAACGGCACTTAACAACAAGAATACATGGCTGAGCTCTGGCCAATGGAATGTTGGTGGAAGTGATGAAAGTTACTTCAAGGCCTGGATCTATTTGGCTTGACAAAGATCAGCCCCTCTGCATCAAACTGAACTTTGCTTGAAAGATTGCTAAGTACCGTGGAGTCGATTCCAACTCATAGGAGGCTGTAAATCTTTACTGGAGTAAAAAGCCTCATCTTTCTCCTGCCGAATGGCTGGTAGTTTCAAACTGTTGATCTTGAGGCTAGCAGCCTGATTCGTAACCACTACACTACCAGAGCTCCTTGAAAGATAAACACATTTAATCACTAATACTTGCAGATTTGTCTATTGGAGTAATTGTTGTTGTTAAGTGTCGTTGAGTCGATTCCAATTTCCAAGCCTCCTTTCAATAACCTATCAACTCAAATCATTGCCAATCACACTAGAGAAAGTTATACAGATTATAATTATATAAATATATATATATAATAAATATATATATACATACTCTGGTAGCGTAGTGGTTACAAATCGGGCTGCTAACCTGAAGGTCAGCAGTTTGAAACTACCAGCGGCTCCACGGGAGAAAGATTAGGCATTCTGCTCCTGTAAAGATTTACAGTCTCGGAAACCCTATGCAGGGTCACTATGAGTTGGAACCAACTCCATGGTACTTAACAACAACAACAATGGTTGTGGTTATTTACCATGCAGTCATTTCTGACTCACAGCAACCCTGTGAATGGTTGGTTGGTTTGAACCACAGTCCTTGTGGTTAGCAATCCAGTGCTTATCCTACAGTGCCACACCAAGACTCATATATATATATATGTTTTTGTTGTTGATAGGTGCTGTCAAGTGGGTTCCGACTCATAGTGACCCTGTAAAATTTTTTCTGAGGAGCAGCTGGTGAGCTTGAACCTCCAACCTTGTGGTTCAAACCAACTTTGAAGTACAGCACATTAAACCACAGCGCCACACCAGGACTCTGTTTTGTTAAGTGCCATCGAGTTGGTTCTGACTCAGTGGCACTGTATAGGGTTTACAAGGAGCAGTTGGTGGGTTTGAACTATTAACCTGTGGTTCGCAGACCAGTGCTGATCCTACAGCACCATACCAGGAAGCTATATATATATATACAAAAGGTGACGGTGATGGTTGTATGCCATGGAGTTGGTTACCACTTATAGCGACCCTGTACAGGGTTTCTGAGGCTATAAATCTTTATGGGAGCAGAAAGTCTCATCTTTCTCTGGCAGAACCACTGGTAGTTTCAAACTGCTGACCTTAAGGTTAGCAGCCTAACTCATAAGCACTATGCTACCA